AAAATAATCATTTAATTTTAGACTGTTGCACACATGAAATGCTTCCAGCAAGCCAGATTATGCACAATTTCATTTCAACTGATTATCATTTTAATTAACTACATTTAGTGTGAAGCTTAATAAAATGAGAGGAAAGAGTTTTAAAATGAGCTGTTAGCAGTGATTTGAATACATTTGAAACTAAATTGTTGGGGACTTTGTTCACTGGGTAGCCCATGATTGTACAAGGCCAGGCACATAAGTGTTCAATAAATACATTTCTTTAGGGCCAGGGATTTAGCTCAGTGGCACTGGGCCTGCCATGCAAGTTCAAGGTCCTGGGTTTGATCCCTGGTACCAAATAAATAAATAAATTCACTTCTTTAAATAATCCTTTAAAAGATTCATTGTTCCAAACATTTAGGAAATTATTCAGGAGTATAATGTTGATATAAACATTATAGATTGAAGGAATTACCAAACAATAACTGATACTACCACCAAAAGTGAAATCAGGACTTCCATGTCATAGTTATTTGCAGAGCTGACTTGAGTGTCCATAGCCCAAAGAACAAGCACCAGCCCTGCTTCAGCTCATGGAAGCAAAGCACCACCTTCCTGAGCAAAGCGATGTGCATTCCTACTACAGAATTCCTAAAACTTAGTAGTAAAAATGAAGCATTTTCATTGGGTATTGAATATTAAATGTTTTTAGAATAGAATATCTCCTTTCATAACTCAAAAAAACTCAAAGCTAGATCTTCCACTAATTCCGAGTAAGTAAATTAGAGATTTATAAAAGTCATTTCACCAAAAGAGCCACTTTAAGGACAGTGTAGCACAGGTGACAGAAATCATCATAAGATCTCCCTGCTAGGATGCAAACTCACAAAAGAAAGGGTCTGCACCTGTATACACACCTGTTTCCTAAGAGTCAGCTAAGAGTCACAGAACATGCTTTGGAATTCATATCAGCACTAGATTCAAACTCCAACTCTACCTTTTGCTAAAGTGTATAATGAAGTCTCTACAAGCTTCATGTTCCTCCTCTGTAAAAAAAAAAAAAAGAGAATCTCTCTGTCATAGGGCATTGTGATGAAATCAGGACCAAAATCTGCATTTCAGATGAGTATATGAAATATTTCACACACAGTTGTCTGCACAGATATTAGAAGCAGCAATGCCTTTAATGCAAACTCCTTATCCAAATGGGGAAAGAGAACAGGCAGGATTTAATGATTCACAAAAGACTTCAGTTACTTTAAGCAAGAAAGGAGGAGGGAAGAATAAAGGTGGAATGTTAATGGAGTGCCAATTAAAATATAGAGCAAGTAAAAATATTCTTTTGCTCCTATGGATCCTGCAGTCATCTTGTTAGGAATATACCACTTACATATATTTGGGGTTTTTTTAAATAAAGTTATACCAGTAGAATTACTGATCACAGAATATTCATTTTTGAAGAATGTTGATACTTGCTTATCAAAATTGCCTTCCACAAGACTTATGCCAATCTCTGCCCCTAACTGCAGAGGACCCCACTTCAACATCTCACCAAGTGAGGGTCAGGAGATAGCAGAGAGTGACCTAGGGCTCCAGCTAGACCTTCCAGGATTCGGTATTCTCCTAGCCAATGTTATTTTCTAGGCTCAGCCCTTGTTTTCTAACACAAATCTCTGGTACATCTTTGGTTTACAACATAATTTTGGAAAGTTAGTCTCATCTTAATCTTTGCTGCTGCCGTAGGATTCAGGTAATTACTACACCTGAACTATGGTTTTATATAGGATAAAACCACAAAATCTTTCTTCCTGGAAAAAAATTAAAAGTGTTATTTTGAACAATGAGCTTTAGTCAGCTTTACCACATAAAACAAACCAGAATACAAACTCAATGAGAAAGGCAACAGAAATGGAAAAATAACCAGTTCCAAGGGCTAAAGGCAAGTAAGTCAAATACCTGGAATTTAACCGTTTCTCAAATTTGAGCCCATCCCTTGCTGTAGGGGAATTTGTGTCTGTTCCATCTGCTTGTGGTTTTGTGTTTGTTTGTTGGGTTTTGTCCATATCCCAAATACAGCAACTAAGCATTTTCTGTAATTGCTGTGTACAACCAATGATGGGGGTCAGAGAGGGAGTGCATCGTTAGATGATTTTGCCATAGTGCTGCCTTCACAAACTAAGATGTCTACAACACCTCACAGAGATGGAATAACCATCATATATGTGCTCTGTCATTGACAGAACATTCCGTGGTGCATGGTTGTATTATACGGACTATGCAGAATGATCTAAACTAATGCTACTGAGACTGATGTGTGTAGAGTACAATTCATTCACCTGGAAGTCTTGTTAAAATTCAAATGCAGATTCAAAAGGCCTGGGTTAGGACCTCCTGCACCTCTACCAAGTTCATAAGCCATGTTCACAATGTGGGTCCATGGGTCACCCTACACTAAGTGCACAGAGAAAATGAGACAGGACACCAACTGTCTGCCCCTTAAAGTCAACAGATGTCCACAGTAGTAACGCAGTAAGTAGGATTACCTCTATGAGAAGAAAACAGGTAGACCAAGCACTGGATTTGAAAATCTCTCACTTGCACCATAGCCAGTATCATCAGTAACCCAACAGTTAGTTACTGACTGACAAGGCTGTGTTGTCCTTAACAACTTGTGAACCAGTGTATGTGGCAGTTAAAACAAAAAAGTCAAAAACTAGCACCTTGAACAGTTGTCTGATGTAAGGTGCAGAGGGTACTCATCTTTTAGCCCTTATAGCCCATTTTAAAAGGACCATATCAGGTTGGTATAAACACACATGAGCAAAGTCGTTCATCATGTAAGTGGGCTGATGGACAAGATGAGATTGTGGAAATCTGCATTGGTCCCTTCTATATAGTCTTCACGTCTAGAGTCCCTGGGTTCTCAAGCAAATGGTCAGAAGGAAGCAATTTTCTAGTCTGTAGAGTTGATAAATATCCAAAGTTCAGATAAACAATTCTAGAACTATTTTCAATGACACAGTAATATGTTAACAAAACAAAATTAATCTTCATTAATGTATCTGAATTAGGCATTAGGGGAAAAAAGGATGCCACAAAAACTGCCATAAGAAAGAACAATGTTGTAATTCATCATTTCATATATAATTAATACCTTCTCAGAAGCATTGAAAATAACTGGCTTATAGAAATATGTAAGAAAAACCAAGTGACAATGACTTGGATGTGTACTGTTTCTACACATAGATTTACTGAAGGATTAGATTTTTAAAAATGATACTAAATTATATCTGTATGAGTCACAAAATTTCTATTCTAATAATCAAAAATATCTTGAAGCAAAAAATTTTACTAGGAAAACATAATAAAATTTAATATATTTCATAAATAATATTTTTAAGAAATCTTGCCTTATACACTAAAATATGAGTTACCATCATTAAATAACCACAGACAGTGTGAGTAGCTATTAGACGGCTAGAGCTGAGAACACAGTCCCTCCTCCCAAACTTGAATCTCAAACCTCAAGCAGCCCTTCAAATATACCCCTTAGGGTTCCTTTGAGAGCCTATTGCACATTCTCTGGATTTATGTATTTATGAAATCCTTTGGAAATGATTTGCAATTTTAAAATAGCCAAAAGTTATCTGAAAACAAAAATAACGAGCAAGACAAGACAGAAAAATAATATTTGGAGCAAACAAAAATAAATAATTGGATCTCATGTTTGTAACCAGTAAACAGGTTCTGATGAAGTTATGAAGCTAGTGTACCAGAAACGTTTTAAGTCACCACAGTGTCCTTTGAATAGCATTACCCTAAAACGTCCTAAAGGTTGTTTTGTGGAGAAATTGGCTCTCTGTTCTTAAGTCTATTGTCAATATACCCACAGGGTATCAGTGAGGGTCTTTAGGGGCATCTCCTTCAGTTGCACACGATAGGATACTCAGGCTATTTTTTAGAAGTTTTCTGCTCACATCAGAATTTTTTAAATGTTCATAACCCATAAAACAGCCTTTTGGAATGGAGTATTTATGTGTTCAAGCCACCCACTTGCAGGGAAACCTTGACCAAAATACTTAAGCTCTCTGAACCTCAGTCTCTTCCTCCATGAAACAGAAATAATAGTACCTACTGTGAAAATTACAATGGACCCTCAAGTTATGACCAGCCTGACAAACAAAAAACTTGGGTTAATTAGGTTAATGGAAGATTCATCTGCCTCTTGTTATGTGTAGCCCGCACCCAGGTAAACATCCCAACCTCAGCTGTATTGACTTACAACCTACTTGAGTTACAACCAGCCCTCAGGAACTGATTGAGTTCATAAGTCAAGGGTCCACTGTATCATGAAAATAAATGCGATGCTTGGTACATACTAAAACTCAACAAATGGTAATTTTATTGATATGTAAATTTTTTATAATTGTGACTTCATCTCTCAAATATCCCGTTCAGTGAAAAGTGATCTTGACTCTCCTTGTGTCATCTCTTCTCTCCCACATGGCCCACAGGAAGACGGTCTGTCTCATCTTCCACACTTCCCCTAATCTTTCCACCTTGTCTCTTCTTTTCTCTTCATAGATCCCCATTTGCCCAAAATGTCATCTTGGTCTTGTTGTAGGGCCAGGTGAGTTGGAACTACAGCGATGTGCCACACTCTGAATTAAATGGAACGCCTTATTATAAGCTGGCTGATCAAGAATGGCTCAGAACAGAAAAGTTCTCAACAAAGGAGAGACAGTTTGCAGGGTCCTTTTAAGGGCTCTTCTATTTCCAGGGGGCTCGGGGAGAGTAGGAGTACAAGCAAGAGTTTCACAGGGGCAAAACTTTGCTAAATCAGTAGGGGCTGGGAAAGCTTCACAAAGTTTAGTTAAAACAAAATATCACACAGGTGCCAGAGTCTTCTGCTTACAAGGTAGTAAAGATAACACAGTTGCAGAGTTCTCCACCAAAAGGTCACAAAGAAAACGCAGAGTTGCAGGATGCGGTGGTCTGTGACGCATTAACTGAAGGGAGTCCCAAGGCAGGGAGGAGGGGGAAGGGGGACCACCCAGAATCACTTGACTTTACACAAGTGGAACCAGGTTGGCTATCACAGTCTTGCTGTACTTCTATTTTTAACTTTTACTTCCTTCCTTTTTATCTTCTCTGTTCCAATATGTTGTTGGCACCCATGTTTCCTTTTCTTAACTCTCAAATAGTTAAACATGGCTTCTGCACACCGATGAAAACAAGCTCACAAAGCACAGCTACTGCGTTTGCAGGACCTGACATCCATTGCAAAATGCTGGGCACAGAAGCAGGGTGGCAGGCAGCTCGGTGGGGTTTCGACTGTCACTGGGAATACAGGTCTGCTGTTAATCTCCCTGCCAGAGTGTTTTCAACCCCCACTTTATCTGTGAAATCAAAACAAGCTCTGTCCTAACAGAACTATGTAATCCCCTGTGCTAGCTCAACAGCAAAACGTGCACTTCAGAGGAGCTTCTATCTGGAAAGAATGACTTTGAACATCTTCAGATGACCTCAGAAAGCTGTCCTCCCTCAGTCCTCATCCTGTGGGGTCTGTTACGAATATTGTCAGCCCACCTCTTTGCCCCATGGCATTATTCTTCTACGCACATCTGAATGGTAACACTAAAACTAAAAATTAAGGTAACCCACTTTCTGGCCCCCCTCTGTCTCTCTTAGAAGCTGTCTTTCTCTCCATAAATTTTTCCTACTCTTAACCTGTGTTGTTCCTAGAATTCATTCTTTGATTTTAGAGAACATGAACTTGGTGTTTCAGATATCTAGCAGAGTCCATAGGCTGTTCACCAGTGTGCTTCCCAGATTGTCTAATAAGCTCTCAGAAACCAGGGCAGGATGAAAAGCATTGAAGACACTGCTGAAACCCAATTTCCTGAGGAGATTTGCTGAGATCTTGGCTGCAAAGGCTGGACCCCAGGTAGGAAAAGTTTCCCTGATTCCATAAAGGTATGCTGCATCTCCAATGGTTCTGGAGCACGTCTGGGCATCAGAGGACCTTAAGTAAAATTATGGCACACCTGTGCATTCAAAGGCCCCCTAATTAAAATTGAGATGGGAATACCTTACTTTTAAGCATATCTAGTCAGAGAAATGTTCACATATGAATATCCACATAGGAACATAGAATAGCAGCCTATTCTAAATATTAGTGGATTCCTTGTAAGATTTAATTTAAATAACTTTTTGAATGTCCTATCACTAAATAAATTATAAGAATAATTCACAAATAAATAAATAAATAAAACCAAAAATTAACAAAAGCTAAATTTTCTTCCTCTTGAAATTGGTTTTCAAACTTTACCTTCTTGATTTTCCAGTTTATATCAGTATTATCACTCAAGCTCCCTACTATGAAAAGTCTGGGAGATCATGAAACAGATGATAAGAAGTAGCCTGCAGCCATCCCTACCTCAGGGAGCAGCTATCCCAAAGCACTTGGTCCTCTCTGCCAGTTTAATCCAAAACTGGCCCTCAGAATGTACATTTCCTACTTCACAGATATGAAGTCTCCCTTCCTGGGGACAGGGCCATGCCTCAAAGACATACATTTCTTGAAGCCAGGACAAAATAAACTAAGATTGCATTGTGATGAGCAAAAATCTTCAATGTAATTGTATTTCAATATATATATATATCTCCAAAACAATTATATGCCATTATCTCCAATATAATTAATGCACTTTTAATATAATTATTCTAATGAGGCTAGCTATCATTATAAAAGCTTCAAAAGGCCATTTTGTAATATATAAACATTACATACATCCACATCCACACCTTTACATCCCTAGGCAAATGAGATTACAAAGATAGCTGAGACACAATCTGTCCTGAAAAAGTTCATTGCCAGAGGAGATAAACACAAAAAACAAACAGCACTGTAACAATTTTTCAGACATTCCAGCTAATCCTTGCGTGCTTCTATTTGCTATGCAAGAGCTTCAGATGATGCCCCACTCAGTCACTCACAACAGGAAGTAGGTAGGTACTACTGCTAGGTGCCTTGCCTAAGTCCGTATGTTGGGAAAAGTTTCAAACATAAATTTTCTTAACCTGGAGAGCAAACTGGGAACTACTGCATTTTCTTGTGTCCAAAACATTCCAGGAATAAAGAAATAGGAAAAAATTCATGGAGTTGAGAAGAAGTGTTTTCTTCTTACTCTAAGAGAAAAAGGAGGCAGAGTCCCTAGTGCCTCTATGGGGTAAAAGGAAGAAAGGAGCAAGGTTCTATCAAAGTCAGCTATGTGACAGAGAGCTGTTCTATCAGCCAGCCTGAGGAGCTCCACCCTGAGTGTGGGGCACTTCGGGGCTTCCCCTGCCACCTTTCTGAGCTCTGAATCAGACTGGAACTCTGCCCACCTCTGTTCTCATTCCCACGTAGCACTGCAGCATGAGTCATTTTGTTCTCCTAGGCTCCTCTCAAGAGGCAGTAAGTGTAACCCACACTCATTTTACACTGGTCAGTAGCACTAGAATTGAGAACAGCCAAGGACAATTACACAACAAAAACCTTCAGTCTGATGAGCCTAAGACTGCCTTGTAAAATTTCTCATGTATAAAAAAGTTGTCAGGTGTTTGGAACTGCTTAAAAATGGCAGGATAGATGCCCAGTAAAATTTCTGTCCTTTTCACAAACACTTCTTGCTCCTATTAGACTTATTAGAGGTGACTGAGGCTCTTTCCAAAAAATATTTTTGAGACCCTACTATGTGCCTAGCAATGTTCTAGGCACTGACGCAGAGTTATAAATATGGAAGATAAAGTAGCTGCCTTTAGAAAGCTTATTTACTTGTAAATATAACTGAATAAAAATATAAAAGTTTAGCATCCTGGCAAAAAATTACAAGCAGTGTTATATACAAAAAAAGATGGCACTTCACTTATAAATGGAGATTCAAAATAAGTTTATGAATGCATGAGATTATTTTTAAGTTATCATTTTAAATTTTAAAAGAATTCAAGCGCTATAGAAAATTACAAACCAAGTGATAAATCACAACTTCTTTCTTCCAGATTAGCCCATTTGTCTTTAATGAACTCAATTCCAGACCCCTTGGGACAACCATGGGTTAAGCAGTTAGAGACTATTATAAGGATCACAGTATATCTTAATATATGTAATTTTCATTAAAATATGAAATAAAATATACCTAAGAAATCAGAATAAAAATAAATGGGGTTATTAAATTTCAAAGAAGTCCTCTCAGTAATCAGTATCAATAAAGGCCCACGAAGAGCTGGCTACAGAGCCCATACGCAGAAGAATGAAAGTGGGCCCTTATGTCGCATATAAAAGTCAACTCAAAATTGATTAAAGATCTAAACATAAGATCTAAAACCATAAAATTACAAGAAGAAAACATAGAGAAAAAGCTTCTTGACATTGATCTGGGCACTTTATTAGAATATGACCCAAAATCACAGGCAACAAAGCAAACATGGACAAACAGGATTGCATCAAACTTACAAAGCTTTTGCAAGGCAAAGGAAACACCTATGCGAAAGGACACTCTATTCCCTGTTCCGTCCACCCACATTCTTCCAGGGGAGGACACACAACAGGCCCTCACCAGATCTTAGATTTGATCTTAGATTTCCCAGCCTCCAGACTGTGAAAAATGCATTTCTCTTCTTTATAAGCTCCCTAGTCTCAGGTATTTTATTGCAGCAGCACAAAGGATAGGGGCTAATATGCAAAATATGGAAGGAACTCTTATGACTGAACCCAAAAATAATCAGATTGAAGAATGGGCAAAGGACTTAAATAAATGTTTTTGCAAAGAACACATAGAAATGGCCAAAAAGCCCAGGACAAAGTTGTTGGCATCATTGATAATTGGGGAAATGTAAAATAAAGCCATAATGGGATGTCACCTCACACTTGCTATGATGACTATTATAAAAAAAATTCGTAAGTATGGTGAGAGAAGGGAGAAAGGAATCCCTGTGTGGTGATGGTGGAAATGTAAATGCTACAGCCATTGTGGGAAGCATTACACAGATTGCCAGAAAAATTAAAAGCAGAACTACCTTATGATTCAGCAATCCCATCTCTGTGTATCTCAAAAAGTTATGTGCATTTCCATGTTCATTCAGCATTATTCACAACAGTCAAGGGAACAACTCAAGTCAACCATCGGTGTATGAATGGACAGAGAAAATGTGACATGCACACTCACACACACACAAACACACACACTCACTAGATATTGTGCACCCGTGAAGAAGGAACTTCTGCCCTTTGCAAAAACATGGATGAATCTGGGGAACAATAAGTCAAATAACCCAGACACTCAAAGACAATGCATGACCTCATTATTGGTTGAACCTAAAATAGTCAAACTTACAGAAGCAGAGGGAAGGGAAAAGTAGAAGATGTTGGTCAAAGGTTTCAACAGTTCAGTTATGCAAGATGAATAAATTCCGGAGATCAAATGTATAACAACGTACCCTAAGTTAGAAATTCTGTTTCACACTTGCTAAGAAGGTTCATTTCAAGGGTTCTACACACAATAAAGAACCCTCTATCCCAGCTGGCTAAGAGAAATCAGGAACACAGGCCCTTCCTAAGGTGGCAGCCAATTATCAGGTCCAAAGAGGCTTGGATTTTGAGGAATTGGAGCCCAATATTTTGAGATGTTATAATTAATACATGGGAACTCAGAAATATGGTTTTTATGGAAAACTTGATTTTTTAAAAGACCTGGACATTTTGTTTTGTTTTGTTTTTTTCTCCCAGTCATGAGGATTGAACCTGGGATCTTCACACTGAGCTACATACCAAGACCTTTTTCATTTACTGATTTATTTTGGGACAGGGTCTTGCTAGATTGCCCAGGCTAGGCTTGAACTTGTGATCCTCCTGCCTCAGCTACCAGAGTGCTGGGATTACAAGCCTGTACCAGTGCACCCAGTTATATTTTTATTTCTTAAAAAGTTATATATAAAAAATGTTATATATAACATTTCTGAATCTCTAATTTCAAGCCATAAATTAATACTGTAAATTTTTCCAAATATTTATTTCCATATTTCTAAAAGTTGCGCTTGTGCTGGTATTTCTTCACTGATCAATTTTAAATATAATCAATTGAACCCTTATAATGAAATTTGACAATCAGTTTCCTTAACTTTCCTCTTCCCTTTAATATGTAGT